CTGGTACCGGGGGCAGCGAGGCGGGGTCGTGGCTTGAGTCAGATCCCCCGAGGGCCCGAGGGCTGTGTCTCCACTCTTTTAAGAAAGCCAACACTATCCTGCGTCTCCGATCTCCTGCCCTTGGGGGTCCTCCCCTTGGCAGATGGTGAGAGAGGGTGGAGGAACAATTCCCGCAGGGATGCGGAGCCCAGAAAGCCCCTCCCACACAAAGACAGTCCCCCCGCCCCAGACCTTAATATAGAGAAACTGAGGGAAGTGCCACCTCACTCTACTTTACCCAAGGCCTGGAACCTGCTCTTCCTTCCATCAGAGCGGTCCTTCTGCTCACTCCCCACTCCCCGCCCCGAAGACGTTCCTCCAAGTGTCCCCCCAGCCCGCGACGGGGAGGCACACCCCCGGTTTTACCCTGCACATCCTCCACTCTCACCACCTCCCACTCGATCTCCATCCCCACGTCAGAAAGTCCTCTGGCAGTCCAGCTTTTGCAGGACAAAGCAGCCCGTCCCTGGAGAGGCCGTCCCTGGGGCAGAAGGGGTGGGAGGGAGCACTGAGATACCCCTCCGATTCTGGACCCTCACCAGCCACCTGGAGAGACCTAGATTTGGGGTTGCCAGCCAAAGAAACAAGGGATGCTTCAGTCCGGCTTTAGGACCCGGGGGGCTCCAGAAAAAAAGACAACTTTTTTTTTTAAGTCGGCTCCGACTTTCCCAACTTTCCGGAACTTCCCTACCCCTCCCAGGTCTCTCAGCCCCAGGGTACGGGTGGGGGAAAATCTGGAGGGCTTTGTGGTGCTTTCCTCGTACTCTAAAGCTATCAGCCTGGCCCTCCTCCTCCAATTCCACACCCCTTCCCCCCACTCCCACCCCGCCAGCTCAGCCTCCCCAGCCCCCATTCCACGTGGACCAGCCAGGGCGGGGGTGAGGATGGAGGACAGGAAGAGGGGGAGCCAGCTCTCGGAGGAGGGGGGCGAAGGAGTCTGGCGGCGGCGGCGGCTCTCTCGCTCGCCCTCACTGCCGGCCGTCCCAGCTCCAGGCACCATGTTCCGCGCGGGGCGCCCCAGCCACACCGTCCTCCGGCTCCCCCTGCTGCAGTCGCTGCTGCTGCTACTGCTGCAGGCCGTGGGGAGGGGGCTGGGCCGCGCCAGCCCGGCCGGGAGCCCCCTGGAAGATGTGGTTATCGAGAGGTACCACATCCCCAGGGCCTGTCCCCGGGAAGTGCAGATGGGGGATTTTGTGCGCTACCACTACAACGGTACTTTCGAGGACGGCAAGAAGTTTGACTCGAGGTAATGGCTTGGGTGCCCCCAGACTCACCATTTCCCTTCCCGGAGCCCGGGAGCAAGCTCTCTCAGTCCTGGGGTTCCCCCGTTGCTGCTTTTAAGCTGTGTCTGCATGCTCCCTACTCACACCGTGATCCCCTAACCTCAAACACAGCACCCTGGGTGGGGGGACTCCTAGACGTCCATCTCCCCAGACATCCCTGCCCTCAATTTCAAACCTTCGCCTCTCAGAAGACCCCTGTTTCTTTCACACAAACTCTCTCTTGTCTCTCAGAGTGCTTGAGAATCACGGTGAACTGCTCTATTTACTTACCAGTGCTCTATTTAAAGACATAGAGGGGGTTTTCTGGTCCACAGAGTTGGGGGGAAGGGCATGGTCCCTGCTGCATGTGAATCCTCCAGTGGTCTCAGCACAGCACCCTCTACCTTTCCATCCACCCTGACTCCCTTTCTGGTTCCAGCCACAGGTTTCAGGGCCTTTGTGTTTAGAGAAGAAGAAGTAAGTAGAGTTTTGGGGGGAGGAGGAGGGAGTTTTTAGCAGCCAGTGGGGTAAAGCAGGTGGGCACTCTAAGACAGCAGGATGGATCAGGGAGTGCAGGGCATAGCTTGGTGTAAGGACCCTGTCTGCCTACATGTCACACATGCCACCCTGGGCTCCTCCGAGAGTTTTCATGCCTCCCTCTCCCCGTGATCCCGCACCCTCATCTCCCTCCATCTTAGCTCGACCAGGTCAGTGCTGCCGCCCATCTTGCCAGCCTTGGGGTTTGAGAGATGGGTTTCTGGTCTGTGTCCAGGCTTTCCGTCTGCTCTGGCAAGTCCATTTCTCTCGGTGGGGGCAGGGCTGTACGCCAGGCCAGCCTCAGTTAAACCTTGGGTCCAGGTCGCACACACAACTCGGCCTATAGAAATCAGTGGCTTTGGAGGCGGGCAGTTTATTGGGTAAGAACACGAACTCCTGAGACCAAGATCCTGGACTCAAACCCAGGCTGTGATCATGGACAAGGAGTTTTGCCTCTTTAAGCTTTACTTTCCTCATCTGAAAACAAGGAGATTAAAAAAGTCTGGAAAACTGCATCCCTACTTCCTAAGGCTGATGTTAGGACTCAAGACGATGAATGAAAGTGAACTTCACACAGTACCTTACAGTCTGCAAGCGGGTTCAGTACCCATTGATTAGCCTTGACTCTGGGGAGAACTTTGGTATGTTTAACTGCTAGAAGCTTCTTGCCATGCTTGGGCTCTCACAACGGCACTGTGGAGGAAGCAGGCCGTACAACCAGCTCGGTGGGCAGAATGAGGCATAGGCAGTAGACAGGAGTACAGCTGTGAGCCTGTGGCCACCAAGGAGTGGAGGAGGGGCTGGGAGTTGGAGAATGGCCTCCCTATCGGGGATTCTGATGGGGACTCTTGGACCCAGGTTGCATCCAAGCAGTGCTGAGCTTGGAAAACTTTCACAACCCATGACACCTTCCGTCAAAATAATAATCTCGCATCTTTCCTTAACTTCTTAAAACTTAAACTTAAAACGAACTAAATCAAGTAAAAGCCATGGCGATTTTAGAGTAGCCTTTTTCAAAATTGAAAACCAATCCCTATCCCCAGCCAGCTCTGCTTTCCCTTCCTTTCTTCTGTGAATTGATGGTGCAGTGGCCCGAACGTGGGCTTTGGAGTTCAACAGACCAAACATTAGCTGTGTGACCTTGGGCAAATCATTTGGTCTCTCAAGTCTCAGTTTTTCTCGTAAGAAAAATGAAATCAATAATGCCCGTTTCGGGAATTCCCTGGTGGTCCAGTGGTTAGGACTCGGCGCTTTCACTGCTGTGGCCCGGCTTGGCCCAGCTTTGATCCCTGGTGGGGGAACTAAGATCTCACAAGCTGCATGGTGCGGCAAATAATAATAATAATGCCCACCTCACAGGGGAGAGAATTAAATAAGATAATGAATGCAGGGACTTCCCTGGTGGTCCAACGGTTAAGGCTCCTCGCTCCCAATGCAGGGGGCCCGGGTTCGATCCCTGGTCGGGGAACTAGATTCCGCATGCCACAACTAAGAGCCCACATGCCGCAACTAAAAGATCCCACATGCCGCAACGAAGATCCCAAGTGCCACAGCTAAAGATGCGTCACGGCCAAATAAATATTTAAAAAAAGATAATGAATGCAAAATGCCAAGCATTTCTTTGGCCTTATCATTTAAGTGCTGGATACCTGGTCTCCCCACACACACACACCCCCACCCCGCCCTGGGTCTGCACTTCCCACTCCTTTTCTGTCAGCAGATAGCAGCAGCAGATGGGACTGCTGGCACCATCCCCCCACCCCAGGGTAGATAAAAGCCCCTGGCCTCCTGGAGGACTTCCTTTCGTAACAGCCCATCCTATTAAGGTGGGAGTCACGGTGCACCTAGGAGGGAGGCTTGAAGAGTTGAGGAGCCTGTGGACCTGCACCTTTGTGTAGGGAGGGGGATGGTGTGTGTGTGTGTGTGTGTGTGTGTGTGTGTGTGTGCACTTGTGTGCGCCTGTGCATGTGTGTGACCATGGGCAGAGGCCACTGTATCCCACCTGTCCCCTCCCTCCCCAGCTATGACCGCCACGCCTTGGTGGCCATCGTGGTGGGCGTGGGACGCCTCATCACCGGCATGGACCGAGGCCTCATGGGCATGTGCGTCAATGAGCGGCGACGCCTCATCGTGCCTCCGCACCTCGGCTATGGCAGCATCGGCGTGGGTGAGGAGAGCTGGGGCCCAGGCGTGGGGGTGGAGGAGACCAGGAGGCAGAAGCAAGGGCTCAGGGCCAGAAAACTGAAGCTCAGAGAGGGAGAGCGGCTTTCCACGGTCACGCCGCATGCGCCGCAGAATGAATAGCGCGGCAGGTCTGGGACTAGACTTTTCCGTCTCCTGCCCCTGGGGCGGGAGGAAGGGCAATAATAGGGCCCTGGGTAGGATCCTAGCTTGACCTGGGAGAAGGGGAACTAAGGATGGTGGAGCGGGAGGCCAAGCAGGATGCTCAGACCTCCACTCCACCCCCCACTCTGGGGGCTGCACCAAACGCAGCGGGGCTTATTCCCCCGGATGCCACCCTCTACTTCGATGTGGTCCTGCTGGATGTGTGGAACAAGGCGGACACTGTGCAGGTGAGCACCTTGCTGCGCCCGCCCCACTGCCCCCGCATGGTCCAGGACAGCGACTTTGTCCGCTACCACTACAACGGCACGCTGCTGGATGGCACTGCCTTCGACACCAGGTAAGGGCTGGAAGGAGCCCTGGGGCGCCAGGGACTGTGGCATGCAGCGGAGAGTCGGGGGCCTTCCTGCCTCTCCCACCAACAGCAGCCTCACCCCTACCTCATCCTCTGCAGCTACAGTAGAGGTGGCACTTACGACACCTACGTGGGCTCTGGCTGGCTGATCAAGGGCATGGACCAGGGGCTGCTGGGCATGTGTCCTGGAGAGAGAAGGAAGATCGTCATCCCTCCATTCCTGGCCTATGGCGAGAAAGGCTATGGTGAGGGCAAGCAGGGACTTGGGCTGCCACATATAGTTGTTCAGGTTGAGTACTGCACAAGGACACCCAGCCAGGGAGGCAAGTAGTGATGCAATCTAGCCCTTGGTGGTCACCTCACTAAGAAGGGTGCTTGGGTGGTTAGGACTCGGCACTATCACTGCTGGGGTCCGGGTTCAGTCCCTGGTTGGGGAACTGAGATTCCGCAAGCCTCGAAGCACAGCCAAAAAAAAAAGGTGCTTTATTCCGATTCACACAAAGGCTCATACGGGCTGGTGGTGGCCCTGGGGAGAGCTCAGCTCAGGCCTCACAGGGGAAGAACCGGGGCTGCTGATGGGCGTCAAAGGCCCTGGAAAGCAGGGTTAGCACCTTTTTGCACGGTGCTCACATAGGCCTTCCTGAGTGGAGAAGAGCCCTGCTTTGCTCTCCACGTGTATGATTCAAGCCTATCCCTTCCCCAGGGACTGTGATCCCCCCGCAGGCCTCCCTGGTCTTCCAAGTCCTACTGATTGACGTCCACAACCCAAAGGACGCGGTCCAGCTGGAGACACTGGAGCTGCCACCTGGCTGCGTCCGGAGAGCCGTGGCTGGGGACTTCATGCGTTACCACTACAACGGCTCCCTGATGGATGGTACCCTCTTTGACTCCAGGTCCGGGGGGTCCTGAGGACGACGGTGGGGGCTGGGGGCGGCTCTGTGCTGCAGGAAGGGCGGGGCCGCTGTGACTCTCTTGCCCGCCTCCCCACCTTGTATGTATTGCAGCTACTCCCGAAACCGCACCTACAATACCTATGTGGGGCAGGGCTATGTCATCCCAGGGATGGACCGGGGGCTGCAGGGCTCGTGCATGGGGGAGCGCCGGAGAATCACCATCCCCCCCCACCTTGCCTATGGGGAGAACGGGACTGGTAGGCATGCTCCCTGTTCCCCAAGCCAACACCTCAGTTCCTCCTGACCTTCCCCCTGATGGGCAGGGGCAAAGGGGGCGGATTCCAGCCATTGCTCTGCCCCTCTCATCGAAAAAACTGGTCCCCCACCCAACTCCTGCCACAAGGACTCCATCCTTTTCTCCAGGGGGCAGTCCCCCACTTCTCCCCTTCCACACTGGAGAAAGGCAGCAGACTCCTGAGCTTGGGGAGGGAGGGTGGTTATGGAAGAACAGAAACAGCATAGCCCTGGGAAGCAGAGAGACCTGGATTTGAGTCCCAGCTTTGCTGGAAGCCTTTGTGTGCTCACCTGTAAAATGGAACTAATCACATCGATCAGCAGGGTGAGTTATTGGGAGGTTGCAAGATACATATGGAAAAGGCTTACCAGCTGGCGTGCCCCTCCCCTCCCCTGCCTCCTCACCACCACAGAGTACATTACAAGAGTTGACTATGTAGACAAACATCCCATCCCATCCTTGTTTAAAACCCCAGGATGGGGAAGGTCTGGGGCCTCCATGGAGACCTAGAGCAGCCCCTCCTAGACTCCAGCTGATCCACGCCCCCATTCTGGCCCCAGGAGACAAGATCCCTGGCTCTGCTGTGCTGATCTTCGACGTCCACATCATCGACTTCCACAACCCTGCAGATCCAGTGGAAATCAAGACACTGTCCCGGCCCCCGGAGGCCTGTAACGAGACGGCCAGGCTTGGGGACTTCGTTCGCTACCACTACAACTGCTCTCTGCTGGACGGCACCAAGCTCTTCTCCTCGTGGGTCCGGGGCAGGGCCAGGGCTGGGCAGGCGGGTGGGCCTAGCAGCACCCCTGACCCTTCCTCCCTAAGTTCCCATCTAAGCTGAAATTCTTAAGTCCACAGGCAGAGGGAGGGTGAAGTAAGCAGTAGGGGAGCTGCTAGTTCCACTCAGTGGAGGGAAACGAGCAGGGAAAGATGAGCCCCCGGCCACACTGCAGGGCAGTTACGAGATACGGGGATTGATCCTATCTCTGCACTGCTGGGTCCCCGCACCCTGCCCTGGGCCTGCCAGGGACCAGGATGAGCACTGACCCGGGAATCTGCTCTCCCCCCAGCCACGACTACGGGGCCCCTCAGGAGGCAACTCTGGGCGCCCACAAGGTGATCGAAGGCCTGGACACGGGCCTGCAGGGCATGTGCGTGGGAGAGAGGCGGCAGCTGGTGGTCCCCCCGCACCTGGCACATGGAGAGAGCGGAGGTGAGCAGAGCCTGGCCTGATGGCTTTCCTCCTCCCCTCTGCCCCCGCCCCCTGGAGCCTGGATGGCTGCTGGCAGGAGTGAGTGAGGCCTTCCCAATGCTTCCCATTCCATGCCCCACTCTCCAGCCGCCAAGGCAGGAGCTGAGGCCTGTAGGCTGGGAGCGCACTGGGCAGGCAGTGAAGCCGGGCCCAGACCCTTCCCTCTCTCTACTCCTCCCCTCCCTCCAGCCCGGGGGGTTCCTGGAAGTGCTGTGCTCCTGTTTGAGGTGGAGCTGATGTCCCGGGAGGATGGGCTGCCCACAGGCTACCTGTTTGTGTGGCACGAAGACCCTCCTGCCAACCTGTTTGAAGACATGGACCTCAACAAGGATGGCGAGGTGCCCCCGGAGGAGGTGGGTGAGGAGTTCGCCCCTGGTAATCCCTCCCACGCTGTCACCTGGCAGGATCCACCTTGCACGGTGGCATCTAACGAGAACAGTGTGTGTCCACCATCCTGTCTGCACCCGTGTTGCTGCCCTTCTGCGGGTCAGTGTGCCTTAAGCCCCTCCTCCCGCCTTCACCTCTGGCACATGCAGCCCATTGCCCCGTGGCTGCCCGGCCCTGGGCACGCCCTCCGCCCCCGCCCCCCTCAGGACGCAGCACCAACCAGCTCCTCTCCTCAGTCCTCGCTGGAAGGCCTCCACCTGGGGACCCGTCCCAAGATGAGCACAGCTGCTCAGGCAGGACGCTCTCTCCCCTCCCCTTGGCTCTCCTCGCTGCAGTTCTCCACCTTCATCAAGGCTCAAGTCAGTGAGGGCAAAGGACGCCTCCTGCCTGGCCAGGACCCTGAGAAAACCATAGGAGACATGTTCCAGAATCAGGATCGCAACCAGGATGGGAACATCACCGCTGAGGAGCTCAAGCTGAAGTCGGACGAAGACCAGGAGCGGGTCCACGAGGAGCTCTGAAGGGCAGGGGCCTGGGCCCAACTGCAAAGGTCGTCTAGGGGGACAGCGGGCAGTGGGGCTGACTTCCCAACAGTCACCCTCCCTGCTGGCATGAGGTCTGGAAGTTTCTAGAAAGTGGTCGGAGGGGACAACTCTGGTTTTCCCACTGCCCGGGAGTAATATCCCCAGCACAGATCTCTATTTGGTGTTTCTCTCCCAGCCCCAAACCCCTTCCTTAAAAGTTTTGGAATTACAAAGCCAATCTGGGGATTGGTGGAGTTTGTGGGTTGGCTGGGGTCATTGCTGGCCCCTTGCTCAGACCTCCCCTCCGTGTCACCAGACACTGAGGAAGGCCAAGCTCATCATTTCCTTCTCTCCCCAAACTTCCCCTTTACCTGTACTTTTCCTCACCATCCTCAACCCGCACCCCCCGCCCCCGCCCACGGCCCCCATTCCTCTGTCCTGGCAGCTCCCCAGGAACATGAACCCCCAGCTTTCCTCCCTCGGCTCCGGCTGGTTCCTAGGGAAGGGGACGGTTCCGGGGGGGCAGCCCTACCTTACCTGTCCGGTTCCCTTCACCTGTCCCACGCCCCCTCGCTGCCAACCAGTGGTGGCTGAAGAGCCCCTGGGGTGCTGCACTTCAGGGCTGGGCTTTGTGTCTCCTTTTATCCCTAAAGAAGGCTGCCTTCTCTAGGGACCAAAGAACAAGAGCAAATTGAAGGGGGGCGGTATGAGGAAACCTACTTGGATGGATCTTAGGGCTATGAAATCCTTGGTTCGGGGCTGAGATAAAGGTGGAAAAGGGGCTCATTATTGAGGGGTGGGGGTGGGTGGGTAGAGCTCTGCACACTCAAAAGGCTAAACTGGTGTCAGACCCCCTTCTCCTTTGTGCCAAATAAAACACGTCCGAAACCAAAGTCCTCGGGATGCAGTCTTTCTTGATTGGTGGCGGGAAGCTTAGACCCAAGTATTGGGAGGAAGGGGAGCAAAGCAGGCCATCTCCATGGCCCTTCAGCTCAAGACCCTGTGTCCCTAGGTCTCAGCCTCCTGCCTCCCTGAGGCCCAGCTGGGGCCCTCACCATGGAGGGAGGCTGGGGGGCAAGTGTCCACAGAGAGGGGCCTGCAGGGGAGGCCTGGAGACATGATCCTGATCTCCTAAGGGTCCCAGCTGAATGGAAAAACAAGTTCCCTGAACTCAAACACAACATGCAAAGCTCAAGGGTTAAATTAAAGCACACAGGTCAGATTCCCCTTTCACACAGATCGTTTCTAATATGGCGATGTTCCCACCTCTCCCGGCTCCTGGCCGCCAGCTGTTACCACCTGCCTGGTGCTTCTCCCTCCTGCCAGAGAGAAAGGTAATGGAGTTCAAACCTCTGGTGTCTTGAGGAAGGAGTTGCTTCAGCCACTCATCAGGCCATCTGCCCTCACCTGCCTGGCTGGACTCTGGCCAGTGCGACAGAGATGACCCAAGCCATCCAAGGGGGTGGGGTGGGGGGGATGCTTGGGAGAGAAAATGACTGGATTCACACCCCAAACGGCCCCCACAAGCACCGAGCTCTTGCCCAAGATGCCCCGAGAGACGGAGCTGCTCCCCACGGTCGCCAGCGACTGATACTCCCTGGTCCCAAAGCACAGAAAGCACCTCGGGGTCGACAGAGGTGACAGCCTCAGATGATGACCACCCTCCCCCAAGCCTAACAGGACAGCCTGAACTAAGTCCGCGTGGAGGCAGCGTGATGCAGAAGAGAAGGCTGGCTCTGTCGGAAACACTGCAACCCCAGTGTTAGAAAGGACTGGTCCTTTCTAAGTGGACCCGTACCTCATGCAGGATCCCTGTGAGGATGAAACGGCACCTGCAGCACCTGGGTGCACACGGCTGGCCCTCAGTCAGCACTCCCATCACTTTCTCTGCTGAGCTGCAGACAAACACAACTGACCAGCCACCAGGCAGGCGGATGAGGGAACCGGCTCCCTTCAGGTCCCGACTCGACCGCCCTTAAGTCGTGCACTTTAGTGGCCGTGGAGGAGGAGGAAGGACAGGAGCCAAGGGCCCCGGTGAAAATCCACACTCACATGGGTCACTTTAGGGACCCACAGAGAGGGGGCTCTGCATCCAGGGCCGCCAAACTCAGCTGATCCCTGCTGAATTTCACGTTTAACGGCTGCATGAGAATCAAGTCAAACCATTCCAGGTCAGAAACACACCCTTCCGACCCTGCCTGCCCACCGTGATGCCCACGGACACACTAGGCTGCGCTCGCTGTGCTCAGCGTCTCCTGGGCTAATCCAGGGGTTTTCAAACTGTGTTCCGTGGAGCTCTAGCAGCTTCTCGGAGGTTCCTGCGCCTCCAGAACCAGGAGGTACAGGCTCTGCCCCGCCCCCACCCCAATCGGAACAGCTCTGTGTTTTCCTTTTTTTATTTTGATCTGTTTCACATATTAGATTTGTTTGAAGAGCAGCTTCCCATGTTAAAAAATACTGGAAAAAAGATTCCCTGGACCAAATGATTCCTAAAGTGCTAACACTGTGTAGGTCCACAGTTCATCTGGAATGGCTTTTGCTGCCCTCCGGGCTGGCAGGGCTCCCTCAAGGCTCTGCAGAACACAAACCACGAAGCCAGGGAAAGGGGGAGGGAGGGGCGTGGGCCAGCAGCTCCCGGCCGCCCGGACTCTTCTCTGCAGCACAGGCAGGAGCAGTGCTCAGAGCAGAGTAGCCTTCCGGTGAAGCCCGTCCGCATCACAGCCCGCGGGGCCTGACCCCGGCCCGCCCTCAGGAGCCCTGCATCTCTGTCCAGTCCCTCTGCTGCAGGATGTGCTGCAGCAGCCCGTTGACCACGTCCAGCGTCTCATCCTTCTCCAGCACGATGTCATACGAGTCCATGTAGCGCTCCCGCTGCTCCTCCACCTGCCGGGGGAGCAGAGACCGAGAGTCCCCCAGCGCCCTGCCCTCCGCGTTGCCCGCTGTTGCCCACCTGGGGCTGGGGAAGAGGGCATTCAAGCTGCGACTCCCCAGGAGGAGCTCAAGGTTACCGGGACCTGCCCTTTGGAGACACAGATGGCCATGGATGCAGGCCGCCACAATTAACCCTTGGGTCAGTGCCAAAAGGACCATCACAACCATTAGAAACAAAAACTATCAGACGTTACCTCTAATCTATCTGGATTGAATCTTCATGAGGCTTCAGCACCTGCCGGCTGAGGGTGAGAACTGGAGGCCTTCTAGCCTGATGCCATACTGTGCCCCTCTGTGACCTTATGTTTTCACCCCTGTCAACCTCTGGTCTGTTCCTATGCTTTCCTTCTCTAAATTATAAACCCACATCCTGAATACCAACATCTCCCATCTCAATCATGCCTTACTGGTATGATTTAGGAGGACTGGTAATCAGCCCAACCACTTTCTAAACTATGTCACCTTGGGCAAGTTACTGAACCCCCTTGCCTCAGTTTCCTCATTTGTAAACTGGGTATAACAGTCACTACCTCAGAGTATGACTGCACAGATGAACTGGGTTAACGTGCGCAGCACTCGGTAAGTGTGGGCTGATGACGTGCTCTGACCTCTGGGTCACGCCGTGTGCTTCGTGCACAGCTGTAACCACTGGGTATTTCTTCTGTTTCCTATGAGACTATGGCTTGTGTCTGACCTCTGTGCCTCTCGTACTTCACACAGGGTCCAGCCCACAGAAGGTGTTCAATAAGCACTCGTTAACAGGAATGAAGGAGAAGCCGGCCATGAAGAACCCGGGTCTCCTACCTACCTTGTCATTTAGGAAGCCAACCTTGAGAATGTTCTCCACGCCAGGAACCCCATCAGCCATGGTGAGGTCCCCCATGGAGTCTCCCAGCAGGAGGATGTTGGTTTTGCCCTGAAGCTGCTCGAAGTAACCAGAGTTCTCGCACACGGAGCTGTTCTTGTTGTAGGTGTGTATGAGCTGGCCCTTGAATCCCTTTAGGAAGCCCTAAATAATCAAGACAAGAGACAGACAGAAGGACTACAAGGACCCATTCGGGACCAGTGTTCCACTGTCTCTGCCACAGAGGAAAGGGAATCCTGAAAGCCACAGATAATGCCAGAACTTCATTGTGATCCAACTAGGGGCCAGCAAGCTAGGGCCCGTGGACTAGATTTGGCCTATTTTTGTAAATTGCTTTGCTGGAACACACCCAGGTCCATTTGTTTACATCTTGTCTACGGGTGCTTTTTTGTGTGACAGAGTAGCTGTGACAGAGATCATATTGCCCGCAAAGCCCGAGATACTTACTACCTGGTCTTTTACAGAAAAAGTTTACAACCCCTGGTTTAAATTAACAGGAACCATCAAATATTGTTGATCGCCTACTCTGGTGAAAGCATGAAGCCCGTGATACAAGCGCTGCCTGGCTACATGTGCGCTAACCTCAGCTGTGGGCCACACCCTAACCACAGGTCAAAGGGATGAAAATTCCAGCCTTGGTTTTAAGGGGAAGAAGTCAGAACATGGGTGAGTCAGAGCAGCCCACCTCTGGCTCAAGAAAAACAAGTCCAAGTCCCAGCCCTTGAGTACCTAGGATGGCACACGAGCCATGACAGTGACACGGGGCCTGGCCGAGCCCTAAACTCAGTCCTCCCTGGCAGAGTCGACTGTCAGCCAAACACCCAAGAGTGGGTCCTTCAAAAGCGACTGTCTTTAGCTGGCACTAATAAATAAATAACTGCCGAGGGCAAAGAAGCTGGCATGCCTTCCCTCCCCCCTCCCCCAACAGGGTTAACATTTAGGGGGAAGCACCCTGGCTGGCGGTCCCCACCCCTCTTCCAGCCCCAGCTCACATCTTCATCAAACTCCATGTAGTTAGAGACGATGTGGATGTTCGGGTGGAACACTTTCCTCTGCCGCATGATTTCTTCCAGGATATCCCCAACGCCCGCGGAGAAGATGAAAAGGGGAACGCTGTTCTGGGAGAGGGTGTTGAAGAACGTCTTGTATCCATCCCTGAAGTGACATGAACGGTTCTGAAATGGCACTGCCTCTGCGACTGTTCTTTATTTTCTATTTGGGTTACATCTTTAACATTTTTAAAAAACATTTTAAATTGTGGTATAAAATACATACAGTAAATTATTAAAGTGCGCTTATTAAAGTGCACTAATACAGTGCGCTTATTAAAGTGCGCTAATACAGTGCGCTTAGTAAAGTGCGCTAATACAGTGCGCTTAGTAAAGTGCGCTAATACAGTGCGCTTAGTAAAGTGCACTAATCTTAAGTGTTCAGCTCAGTTAATATTTACATATGTTCACACACATGTACTTACTAATGAGGTCAAGATTCCCTCATGTTCCTTCCCAGTCGATGCCATCGCCCCCATTTTGACTTCACATCACCATTGATTTGCTCTCCCTGCCCCTGAACTTCATATACACCATATAACCACATTTTTTGTTTGTTTGTTTGTTTGTTTGTTTCTGTATTATTTTGCCTGAGCAAAATACAACCAGGCAGCTATCCTGAGGCAGCTTCACTGGGGAACACCTCCAACCCACCCAGGCACTTACTGGGTTTGCACATGTCTACTCTCCTGGCTTTCCACGAGCTAGCCTCTCTCCCCAATCAGGACACACAATCCTTGAGGGAAGGCACCCGTGTGGACTCCTTCCTCTACGTGCCCTCATCCCTCCTCCAGTAAAGAACGCTCCAGGCCTTCCGTGAAGGCCACGGAAGATCAAGGGCCCTAGGTCAGCCAGCTCCCATGTCTGGATAAAGAACGCCAGTCGCCGTGGGGACCCCAAAAGTCTGTTTATCATTGGGAAGAATGAGCTAGACGCTGTTTGTTCTAGGAGATGGAGCCCTGGTCATATTCACACCACATCCACTACCAGCAGACTGCATCCTAGGACACACCCAAGGATAGAAAATTCTCTGGCTGTGTCCAGAGAGGACAAGCAAGACCTTCTCCACGTCATCTACTCATGGTGCTAGATCGCTTCTGACTCTCCCAGCAACCGACTCCTCTTTGATTCTTCCCAGCCTCTCTTTTGTGAGCAAACCCATCGCCAACAGTCTGGCAGAAACATTTTCCAGAGCAGGCAGCTCACCTAAGCATTGCGTTGGACTCTCTCACCACCTGGGCTATCTGAAACTTCTGAATCTTCTGCTGGCACAGGAGCTCATGCGCTTTGGTCCACCTGGAAACAGACACCCCACGAAACCCCAAATTCAAACCACTAAGTAAAGTGACCTTTCCCATCTCAGGGCCGAGTCTCCTCTGGAAGTACTGACAGCGGAGGCCTCATCCTTTCCCCCAGAGCCATTTCCTGAAGGACCCTGCTTGTCCCTAAAGGAAGAGGGTGAGACAGCAACACAGCAGCAACACAAGAGCTGGGCAAGTTGCTGCTGATGTCAAAGCTCTTCTGAATCCCTTCCTCTGTGACCCCACTCTATGGAGAACTGGGGCTTTGCCCAGTGATACTGGTTTCCTTAGGAGGGTTATTGCCCCAAAGCACTTATTGCCCCAAACTAAGGGGCTTCTAACTCATTCCAAGGATACTTGGTGAGCCCTCTACTCTAGCAGTAGCCACACGTAGCCTGGCTTTATCTGGACAATTTGTTCTAGCAGCTGCGCTTGTGGCCTTCAGTTAAGCATTCAGTAAGGTAAAGGAGCCTGCATCTGACCAAAGCTCAGGAAAAATACGCCCCCGTCCAGACCAAGCATCGTGAGGGCCAGGGGCGTTTCACCACCACCATCACTTACCATTCCACCATGTCAGGTAACTTCTCTTTGATGGTCCGGTGTGGGTCAATCTCAATTGGGTAATAGTGGTGGAAGAGCGCTTTGAGCTGTGACATCGAAATGAAGAGAAAAGCCGTTTAGTCCACATCAAGTTTTCCCCAGCAGAGTCCTACAGTCCAGCATGAGAAAAAAGTCACCTAGAAGATGCAACTCCAGGTAAGGGAGTGACTGGAGCTGCAGAGCCGGCCATCCCTCTGCACTCCCGCTTAATCAGTAAGAACTGATTTAACGCTGTATTTCCCAAAATGTGGTACATTTTCTCAAGTGGTAGGCAAGATAACTTTTGGGGGGGGCGTACATGGATAAAAACACTTTTCATTTTAGTGGTTTGGGATTCATTTTAATGTATGTCGGGAAAAAAGAAAACTAGAATAGCACACTCATGCTTTCATAAAGATTGCTCCTTTCTTTTGCAAGTTAACTGCATTCAGATCTTTAAAGGCAGGGTAATTTACACAGATCTGGCAAAAATCATTCAAGTGAACTAGAAGACTGGAGCTTGGGACACAGCATGTTAGGGGATAACTCCATCGCACTGCCAACGTCAGGTGGACAACCTCACGGGGAGCATCTCTGTGCACCTCCTCTGGCTAAGGTCACCTTCCACATGCCAGGACCTTCCACAATCTAGGGAGGCTGCTTCAGGGATCATGTGTCACATGGGCTCAGTCAGTAACAGTGCCCAATAAAAATGAGAATTGACTGAGTAAAAAATTTTAATTTTAATACGTGCATGGTGTCGGAATATTATGAGATCAAATGGAGTCCCTGACCATCAGTCCAAAAGAGGGTTAAATACAAAGAGTGACAGAGACAGAAAGCTCCTAAAATGTGTTAAGATTCTCAATGTTTCCTTGAGTGTGAGAACATTTTTCTGAAAGTATAACAGAATTCAACAGAATATAAATTTCTTTTTTTAAAAAATTTATTTATTTTATTTTTGGCTGTGTTGGGTCTTCGTTTCTGTGCAAGGGCTTTCTCTAGTTGCGGCAAGCGGGGGCCACTCTTCATCGCAGTGCACGGGCCTCTCACTATCGTGGCCTCTCTTGTGGAGCACAGGCTCCAGACACGCAGGCTCAGTAGTTGTGGCGCACGGGCCTAGCTGCTCCGCGGCATGTGGGATCCTCCCAGACCAGGGCTCGAACCCGTGTCCCCTGCATTGGCAGGCAGATTCTGAACCACTGCGTCACCAGGGAAACCCCCAGAATATAAATTTTTAAAAAGAAAAAAGATTTCTTACATAAATTTTGCTTTGTTAATTTCTTCAGGAACCCATCAACGCCACAAATCTTAATGTTCTCTAGCTTCTTTATCCCAGAGAGGGCATCCAAACCTATTGTCTTATTTGTGGACGTAGCTCTCTGGAAGCTGCTATGATCAGGGATGTGAGGAACCAAAAAAAGTGACCTGCCAAAGGTAATCAGTGGTGGAGCCAGAATCTACCTTAAGCTACAAGTGGCATCACCAGAGAGACAGGTGTAGAAACAGAAGAGCTATCTATAATTCACTGTCCATCTTAATAACCAGTAATCATGACAGAGTATTAGAAGATCTGACCAATATGGCAGACCAGCAGACCACTTAGTAACCAATTTGGTGAACTTCATAATCAAGTGGAACTAAATGATATAGCTCTTTAGCAGAAAGAGCTCAGCAACCTGCAGAGAAACGAGGGGCTAGCACAGCTCTGCTCTGGCAAAGAGGACACTGATGGGAAGAACGCGTAGCAAAGTAAAATGAACTCCAAGGCTACAGGGATCGCTTTACAGTATCTGTATGCATCTTATGGAAACGGGAGTTTCATACACAGACGTTAATTCAGAAGTCTTTCTTGGTACCTGCTGCCTTACCAAGAAAATTTATACTATCAAGGAAAGAGCATAACATAGAGGAAAGAGTTCGGGAACAGAATCAGATCTATGGGAAAACCAAGCTCTGCATCTTGCTGTATGACCTCGGGTACGTTGCTCAAACCTCTCCAAGCCTCTGTTTTCCCATCTGCTAAATGGAGACAGTAATGATTCTATCCACCTCTCGGAGTTGTGGGAGGCTTAAACAGCAAACATCGAAGTCTCCTATTAAGTTCTACAGATAGGAGTAAGCGTATTCCAACCATCTATCATCACGTGTCTTGGCCAATAAGGAAAAGCTGTTTCAGTGTATTAAGACTAGGTCCACCTGAGCATAACAACATTTTTTTAAAAAATTAATCTTCTAAGGTCTCAACCCTGGAATCTTTGGTCCTAACCAAGAACCACTGGAAGTCGTATATGATAGCCATTTCTGAGCAAAGAAGGGAGTAACCCACCTCTTTCCGGCACTCCTCACTGATGATCTTGCTGTTATCCAGAATATCTGCAAAAACACAGAACTCCTTTTACTTGCCCCTTATAAGCCATCGTCCTGTCAAGCCCAATAAAGCAAGCTAGTATGTGACTTACTGTAAGAAGAAGGGCATCGCTTTCCATTATATGCAAACCTGCTCAAGGTCATGTCAAAATCAGAAATGACCTAAAATGCAAAAGAGAGATGAAGCCTAGACAGGCTCCTTCCAGGGTGGCCCTGTGCCAGCCAGGGAGGATGATTATGGAAGTCCAAACAGCTCAGTGCCGGTCTGCGGGCAAAGCCCTGGGGGAGTCAGGAAGCGCCGAAGGAAGAACTAATCCTAGTTAATACCTGTGCTAACCCAGAGAAGACCCAGCCTCTCTGAGGATGGGGGTGGGGACTGCAGAATCAGGACCCCTTCCACTCTTTCAATAGCACCCATCTCAATGCCCTGGTCCTTCGTAAGATGCCCCCACCTTTTGGCCCATCTACACATCTGCGTCTTCTTGGGGAGCCCACCAACCTCGGCTAGTGAGGACAAGACCCGGAGGCCTGGTGTGGGGTGCGTTCTGTCTACAGCACGACCTGAGAAATTTGAAATCTAGGTTGCTGGGCAGGTGGGCTCTCCCCAAGGCAAAACAGGCTTGCCCTCGGGCAGCTGGCCATTTCTAGGGGCTGAAGGCATGCTTGCTGGTGTCCGCAGCAAAGCGGGAAGGCGCACTGGGCAGGCCACATCCCCAGCCCCCCCCCCCCCCCCCCCCCCCCCCCCCCGCGGTACCTGTAAGCGGTCTCCCCCGCCCTTGCGGAGGGCGCCCACGATCTCCTGCACCCGCCCGGGCTGCCGCATCAGAACCGTGGCCTTCATCAGGGTGCTCACCTGTCCCGAGACCCGAGAGAACCGCTGACCCCGGCACCGCGTTGCGCCCAAGGGGAGGCCGGCGAGGCCGGGCCGGGGGCGCGGGGGACGAGCGGGGGCTCCGGCCGGGCCTGGGCGCCTACGGGCCGCAGTGGCGCGGCGAGGCCCAGGCGGCCCGGTGGGGGTCTCGGAGCGCCCGGGGTTTCGGGGCCCGCCCCACGCCGGTCTCCTCCTCCCGCCTCACCTCCTCCGCCATGGCGCTCGCCGGCCTGTTGGCGGCGTGGGCACAACGACCGCCCCGCGGCCTCACTGCGCAGGCGTCGCTTCCGCGGGGCGGGGTGGGGGTGAGGTGCGGGGACGGGGAGCGGGTCCGGGGCGGGGGGTGGGGGGTGGACGGGGAGTGTCCCAAGAGGCTGGGGTTACGTGGGTGGGTGCCACTCTTTTTAGAACAAAAACCCTAACCGGAATGGACGTTTCCAGGCTTAAGGTTTGCATGAGCAAAAGGGCGCAGATGGGAGGGGGTGTGAAGGGGCCATAAGTGAGTTCTGTTGAAGATCCAGAAGGTGCTTCCTTCACGGGCCTCGCTCCTCATCACAGAAGATGAGTGACTCAGTCCAGAGGGCAGGAGGGCCCTGGACATCTGGGCCAGAATGAAAACCCATCAGCTTTACTTCTCCCTTCTGCCTCCTCTGACTCGGTTTCCTTGAACTCAGTGTCTCAGGAGCCAAGGGCCAAGCTGCGGAAGAAGGTAGATGGTTGCCACAGAGACGCCAAACTGAGCACCGGAAGCGGGCAGCAGGAGCTAGAGTGAATCAAAAGTCTTACGTGGTGTTAGTGGTCACATCCTGCTTCTGGTTGGTTGCAGAAGATGTGGGGTGGTCTTCAGCCTGAGTGATGCCATGGGGGCGGGGGGGGGGGGGGAGGAATGAGGACAGGGACAGGAGAGAGTTCCAGAACCTGACATCACAATCCTGAGAGTGATGTCACAGCGGGCCCAGGATTCTGGAACTTGGGCTGCCTGCTGGGCCCAATGTGAAAGGTGTAGTAGGAAGAAGGAGTGACAGCTGGCTAAAGGGCCCCGACCATCCTCCCCGACACCCTAGGAGAGCAGCCTGGCTCCCCTTGTCCCAGGGTGCCATGGAGATGGAGAGCATGGCGGCCTCCACAGGTTTCCACCAGCCTCACATGGAGAGGAAGATGAGTGCGATGACCTGTGAGATCTTCAACGAGCTTAGGCTAGAGGGCAAGCTCTGCGACGTGGTCATCAAGGTCAATGGTTTTGAGTTCAATGCCCACAAGAACATCCTCTGTAGCTGCAGTTCCTACTTTAGGTACAACAGGGTTGCTGGACTAAGCCAAAAGGGGGAATGGGGCTCATTCTGAGACATTTTGGTTCATTTCATATTTCCCACCCCATTATCTTAAGTTTAGGGACACTGTCAAAGCCCTGGGCTCCTGTAGACTGGCTCCTTTGTCTTCTGAAGAGGCACAGCTAGGGCCAGAGCCTCTTCTGTCTCATTTTCAACTAGATTTCAACCAACTATTGGTGGGCCAGATGCATTTTTTCTTTGATTTTCACCCAAACCAACGTTTGGGAAGGTTGGACACCTGTAGTGGGTTTCCTACTTAAACCTAGATGACAGTGCCACTCCAGCCACCCCTTAAGCCCCTATCTGAGACTATCTCAAACAGGGTGACAAATTAACAAGGACTGAGAGGGTGGGAAGGGGGATGAGGGGAAAGAACCAAGGAAATATTTTTCAGAAGAAAAAAGGAGTTTGAGCCAAAACTATTGTAACCCAGGAAGTAAAAGACCTATTTTGTTCATGAGCTGAAAATATGTGAGTACTCGGTTCCAATGAAGATATGATAAGTGCGTGCCACCCATTGCTAAAAATTCTCATTCATCTAGACCTAGAGCAGGGTATACAAAAAGACCAAATAGTGACTATTTTAAGCTTTGCAGGCCATACAGTCTCTGTCACAACTACTCCACTCTGCCTTTAGTAGGAAAGCAGCCACAGACAATACTAAATGAAAGGGCATGGCTCTGTTCCAATAAAATTATTTATGAATACCAAAATTTGCATTTAACTTCCAGGTGTCACAAAATATTTTCCCCCCAAAAGAAAAGAAAAAAATTTTTCCCCATTTAAAAATGTAAAAAATATTCTTAGCTCACGTGCAGTACAAAAACAAGAGTTGGCCTGAATTTGGCCAAGAGGCTGTAGGTTTTCAGACCTCTTCTCTAGAGAATTTGATCTCTGAGCCCACATTCCTTTAAACTTCCTAGAAAAAGGAAGGAAAAATATATTAGAGCAGGGACTTCTGTCCTCTGCAACACCTAGAGAAGTACCTAGCTACATAGTAGGGACCCAATAAGTTGTTGTGGAATAGTAGTCATTTTACTCATTCAATAATTATTTATGGAGTGCCCATTTTGTGACAGGTACTGGAAATAAAACAATGTATAAACATTCCTGTTCTCGTAAAGTTTACCTTCCAGTAGGGGGAACAGGCATTTAATAAATAAAATACATAATAGGTCATAAGTGCTAGGGAAAAAAAGGAAGATAGAGAGGGGTCAGTGGTAATTTTAAATAGGATTATCACTTTGCTGACAAAGTGACATTCGAGCAAAGACTTCAAGGGGCTGCGGTCTTGGGAAATAACGGAGATCTTGGGGGAGCCTTCCAGGCAGAGTACGAAGCAAAGTGCACAGATGGAAGCATCTCTGGTGTATTCAAGGAAAGCAAGGCCAGCAGGGCCGGAGCAAGGTGAGGAGGAAGGTGAGAGGAAATATGGTTAGAGAGGTATTCATGGTCCAGATCTCAGAGGTCTTTTGTAGTCCCTGGTAAGGACTTTGTATTTTACTCTGAGTAACAAGGGAAGTCAGTGGAAGGTTCTGAGCGGAAGAGGAGCATCAACTCATAAGGAGCATGCTGGTGTCTGGGATGAGACTATAAACTCTGGAGGTGTCAAAAGCAGAAGCAGAGAGATCAGTTGGGAGGTTTACTTCCAATAATCTAGGCAAGAGCTGGTGGTGGCTCACACCAAGAAGGTAGCAATGAGAGAGGTGAGAAGCGATCAGATTCTGGATATGTGTTGATTGAATAATACTTGGTTTTTTTTGTGTTTTTTTTGCGGTACGTGGGCCTCTCACTGTTGCGGCCTCTCCCGTTGCAGAGCACAGGCTCCGGACGCGCAGGCTCAGTGGCCATGGCTCACGGGCCCAGCCACTCGGCGGCATGTGGGATCTTCCCAGACCGGGGCACGAACCCGTGTCCCCCCAGTCGGCAGGCGGACTCTCAACCACTGAGCCACCAGAGAAGCCCAATAATACTTGTTTTAAAAGTGTATTTGCTCAAGTTTAATTTCCTTAATTAAGATAGAATTTGGTGGGCAATGGGCTGAGACAGAAAAAGACCTCGGTCTTACTCACAGCTGTAGATACCAGTTTCTCCATCCACAAAATGGGAAAAAGCCTACTTATCATGAAGATAGGAATAAAAGTGACCAAAGTCAAAGTTCTTGGAAAGATTCTCTTGACCACTGTATAGAACCTACCCTCCTCCCCCCGCTTCCTCACGCCAATTTATTTCCAATTTACTTATTGTGCACACTATTTGGAAAATGTCCAAATGTCCCACAACAAGAGAAGGTGGCGGGGGTAGGGAACATGGCAAACTAGAGAGAAGTATTTCAGTGACTGCTAGTTTCTTTCTTTCTTCCAGAGCTTTGTTTACAAGCGGCTGGAACAACATTGAAAAGAAGGTATACAACATCCCTGGCATTACCCCCAACATGATGAAGCTAATTATCGAATATGCGTACACCCGGACCGTCCCCATCACACCAGACAACATGGAGAACCTGCTGGTTGCTGCAGACCAATTTAACATCATGGGTATTGTCAGGGCTTGCTGTGAGTTCCTCGAGTCGGAGCTGTGTTTGGATAATTGTATCGGCATCTGCAAGTTCACAGACTACATCTACTGCCCTGAGCTGAGGCGGAAGACCTACACGTTCATACTGCACAACTTTGAGGAGATGGTGAAAGTCTCAGAAGAGTTTTTAGAGCTCTCAGTCACTGAACTTAAGGATATCATTGAGAAAGATGAACTCAACGTCAAACAAGAAGATGCTGTATTTGAGGCCATTGTAAAATGGACTTCTTATGACCCCCAAAATAGGAAGCAGCATATTTCAGTCTTGCTTCCCAAGGTCGTTTAGTTATTCTTTTGTGGGATGCTTAATTGTTTTTTTTTTTTTTTTTTTTTTTTTTGCCTGTGCCACATGGTTTGTGGGATCTTAATTCCACAACCAGGGATCGAACCCATGCCCCTGCAGTGGAAGCTCGGAGTCCTAACCACTGGACTGCCAGAGAATTCCCTTAATTGCTCACTTTTGATTCATTTATCCCAGAGGGATTGTCCCAAGAGCCATACTCAGATGTTTGACAGATTCCAAGGCTGTAGTTATACTTACATATACTTATATATGTACCTCTACAGAAGGCATCCCCTGCTATTCTCTGGAATTTTGCAATTTTCTTTGCCCTTGACATTGCTAGTTCCTTCTGCTCCAGTTATATTCTCTTTGACCAAGATTCTCCCTGGTAGTGGGGGAAGGAGAGGGCAGGCCTTCAAAAGAATTCTAAAGGGTCTTCCTCTCACCCCTTTCCTTCTGTGAGTTTCCCCAACCAAAACAGGAGTTGGACAAGAAACCAGATCATGAGCATTGCACTCAATTGTAGCCATTTGGTGCTAATTCATGTTATTTTACATATAGAGACATAGATATCCAATTACTGAATAATGACCACAGCTTTTTCTGGTCTAATAGTCCTGTCCAGGGGCCAAGGAATGGACTAGCTCTGTGACCACTTGAGGTGGCTTCTATCTCGTTCATTCTCAGCATCCAATGTATACCACCTCCAAAACACAAATATTTAAACTGTGAGCTGTAAATTACAAAAACAAAACAAAACATGATCCTACTGCATTCGGAGAAGACTGTAAAACTGCGGGCTTAAGGACATGGGTTTTCCAGACACCACACCTAGTCTGAATGACTTTCTCTATTTCCTTCTTAGGTTCGCCTGGGTCTAATGCATGCTGAATACTTCATGACCAATGTTAAGATGAATGACTATATCAAAGACAGCGAGGAATGCAAGCCAGTCATCATTAATGCACTGAAGGCCATGTATGACCTAAACATGAACGGATCTTCTAATTCTGACTTCACCAACCCACTCACCAGGCCCCGCCTGCCCTACGCCATCCTATTTGCAATTGGTGGCTGGAGTGGTGGGAGCCCC